TTACTATGAGATACATCATCCCTACAGAAAAGCACATAAAATAGATATATGGAAGTTGTGAACATCTATGTACTACTATACAAGTCAAGAAATGGAACACTTTTAAAACCTGGAAGCCTCTCTTCTGTGACTCCTTTCCTTTATATAAATGTTTTCCTCTTTCCAGAATCAACGTTGTGGCATTTGTGATAGTCAACTTTCCTGCTTAAGAATAAATTACTCCTTTACAGAAATACTAAGTAATACAATATAGATTTTTGAACATTTTACTATTTCGCTGTGGCTTTGCATGTAAATATGATTATTATTGTATAGAACACTACTACATGGCTATATTATAATTTATATATCTGTTCTACTGGATCATCACTCACTTTTATAAACAATACTGAAAACTGCCAGGATGGGGGGGAGGCAGGATTGGCAGTAGTGGGAATCTACTGGGGCATATCTCATCAGCACAGGTACCTGCCTAATGAACATTTGTATAACTAATCCTGAATTATACTCCACATCTTTAAAATAAAAAAATTAAAATTAAAAAACTAAAAAAAAAAAAATAAAGAATGGGGACCTGTGGAGCTGAACAGAGAAGGGTTTAGAAAAGCTTGACAGCAGACAAAAATAAAAAAAATAAATCTGAAATATGAAAGTGCATGTGTATTTGTTAGGGTGGGATGAAAAGGAATGCTATATAAATTTTCCACACAGCAGTATGCTTCAATATATGGTCCCTGTCTCATCTCTTTTTTAAAAATTTCTGCTGCTTCTCATTAATGGAGCCTCATTTATGATTCTTACATACTTACTTTTTTTTGTACACACATTTATCATTTGCTCATAAAATGGTTCTTGAGATATGTTGGAGTTGTAAAATAAAGGGATGTTGTTTCAGAGAGACACCTGTTTCTCCCAGACACCTAAGGGTGCCACAAATACAAAACTATTGTAAACTAGATTAATATCTTCAGTTTTGGGGGGTTACTTCAAGTGCAATGTCATTCAAGATTACAGGCCTATTTCGATATTATATGGTTTTAAAATTCTCTGCATATCTTCTCCCCTCCCCCAACATGCCCTTTAACTGCTCAATGGCATAGGTCTTTGCTTATAGACTCCTTAGGAGTAGAAGACAAGATGAAGATACCGCTGTTAAGCCCCTTACCTTGAATTGTAGTATTTTCCTAGTCCAAGATGTATATGGCTAGGGTCTCCTATGTAATTTTCTACATTAGAATGTCCCTGGACTTTAGTTTAATACCAAAGTATCCTAAATCATCAGGTCAAAGAATGTTAATGTTCTGATTTATTTTTGGTTTTATGCTTTTATTTAAATTTTAGGTTGTTGCCAGGCATGATAGTTCAAGCCTGTAATACCAACACTTAGGGAGGCCGAGACAGGAGAATTGCTTGAGCCCAGGAGTTAGACACTGGCCTAGGCAATGTAGCGAGACTTAGTCTTTACCACCACCACTCCCAAAAAATTAACCAGTCTTGATGGTGCCCGCCTGTAGTCCCAATTGCCCAGGAGGCTGAGGTGGAAAGATTACTCAAGCTCAGGAGGTTAAGGCTGTGGTGAGCTGTGGTCGTGCCACTGCACTCTACCCTGGGTGACAAAGTGAGACTCTAACTCAATAATCATAATAAAGGCTGACAATTTATCACTAACTCATCAATTTTTAAATGTTTTCAAGGAAAAAAACTCAAAATGTTAGAATACACACACACATACACACATATGTGTATGTATATTCACATAAATTTTTTGTGTGCTTAAGAGCAATTCAAAGAATTTTATTTTTTACACTAATATTTGTATATTTATAGAATAAGATTAATCCAAAGAAACTGAATCGTTCTATTACTGTAATTAATTTATTAATTTATCCACTTATGTTTGTGTCTTTATGTTTTCATTTTGCATCTTTTTGTTCCTTAATTACTGACAATCAAGGGAAAAAAATAAATGTCTTGAGGATGAGAAAGAAGAGAGGAGAAGAAAGGAAGAAAGCAGAAAGAGGAGACAGGAAGAATTCAGAGAGAGAAGGGAAGGGAAGAAAAGGGTAGAGGAGGGGAGGTGAGGGGAGGAGAGGGGATGGGAGGGGAGGAAGGAAGGAAAGGAGGGAGGGAGGGAGGGAAAACAGAGATAGAGGAAGAAGGGAGGAAGGAGGAAGAGATATGGAAGAAGCTAGGAACAAAGGAGAAAGAAATGAATACATTAATATGCCTCCAGTAAGTAATAAATTTATGTTAACTTCAGAACTCTGTGGCAGAATGCATTTTTCAATTCTTAGAAGGAAATTCAATTTTTTATCAGTATCATTTCTGAAAATTTTAAAATCAATACTCTATGATAATGGGATATGTATTTTTCTCCTCGTGTTTATAATTATATACATATTTATTAATTTGTGTATTATATTGGCTCTTAGAGTTCTCATACAGAAATTTAGTACATTAAGAATAATTTCTTATCAGTCAACACACAAATTTTAGATGAAAAAGTATTCAATTCTCTATTCAGCAATTTACATCTATTTATATTGTTTTAAAAACTTGAATGGGGTGAAAAATAATGTGTTCAAAACGTCTTAAGATTAATTCTGTATGCCACAGTGAATTTCAACAGTTCACATAAGAAACAATTACAAGTAAACATAAAATCCTTCAATATGTCTAGTCCTTTCTTAAACATTGTTATTTTCTTTCCACTGTCTTAATATAAATAAATACACTCTTTTACATGCTATTTAATTTCATTAGCTCTCTTCATTTTACCTGTTTTTACTGTACTCTGCCCAAACCTGTAGCCAAAGTTGCACTAAAAGTGGCATCTGGAAAATTTCTATAAGGGACTGTCCCAAACCAATCAAGATAGAAGTTGTTGAGATTGCAAAGAAAGAAACACCAAATGCCAGAGTGATTAACCCAAAGCATTCATTAAGGAAGTTTATATGCAAAAATCTTCAATGTCCTCAAAATAGACAGCAAGACAACAGATGTTCCACCCAAGAATATTCTTTTTTTTTTAATTTTAGAGTTGTGGGGTATAATTCAGGGTTAGGTATACAAATGTTCATTATGCAGGTACCCTTGTTGATGAGATGTGCCCTTGAACAATGATTATGGTTCAAGGTCTGCTTATGAGTGAGAACATATGGTACCTTGTTCTTTATTTCTGTGATAGATCACTGAGTACGATAGACTCTAAATTCATCCATAAATTTCTGTGAATTTCATATGTTTGTCCTTCTTTATGACTGCATAATATTCCATTGTGTATATGTAACACTTTTTTTTCTTATCCAGTCCAGTTTTGATGGGCAGCATGTTTGGTTCCATGTTTTTGCTACTGTGAATAGAGCTGCTACAAACCAGGTAAAGATCCAGCAAAAAAAGAGAACTACAGGCCAATATCCCTTATGAACATAGATGCAAAAATCCTCAACAAGATTCTAGCAAATGAAATCCAAAAACACATCTTAAAAATTATCCACCATGACCAAGTAGGCTTCATTCCCAGGATGCAGGGCTGATTCAACATTCACAAGATCATAAATGTAACTAAATACATCAATAGATGTAAAAACCAGAACCACATGATTGTATCATTAGATGCAGAAAACTTTTGATAAAGTCTAGCATCCCTTCCTGATAAAAACCCTCAAACACCTAGGTATAGAAGGAACATACCTCAAAATAGTAAGTGCCATCCATGATAAACCCACAGCTAACATATTGCTAAAGGACAGAAACTAGAAACATATCCCCTGAAAACTGGAACAAGACAAGACTTCCCACTCTCACTCCTCTTGTTCAACGTTGTGTTGGAAGTCCAAGCTAGGACAATTAGACAAGAGAAGGAAATCAGGGGTATCCAAATAGGAAAAAAGGAAGTCAAGATTTTCCCTCTTTCCAGACGATATGATCCTATACTTCGAAAATACAAAAGAATCTGTCAAAAACCTGCTTGCATTGATAAAGGACTTTGGCAAAGTTTTGGGGTACAAAATAAATGTGCAAAAGACAGTTGCATTCTTATACACCAACAACAAGCAGGCAGAGAACCAAATAAAAAGCATAATCCCATTCACAATAGTCACAAAAAAAAGAAATACCTCAGCATCTTCCTAACCAGAGAAGCAAAAGACCTTTACAATGAGAACTGCAAAACACTGCTGAAAGAAATCTAAGAAGACACAAACAAATGGAATAATATTCCATGCTTATGGATAAGAAGAATCAACATTGTTAAGATCAAAAATATTCTTAAAGGAGAGGTTGTATTATGCAGCTTATATGAGGGTTTAAGGACTATGACTCAGCGTAAGGACTAGTTCTTATTTATTTAGCAATGTAATTGATCTTTTAGTGTTTCAGGCAACAGCCTAAACAATTTATCAGTGTCTGGGAATGTTCAACACCCGGACTTAGGTTCAAGGTTGCAGACGAAAGCATTCAACTTGTTGGGTCACAGAATAACCAAAGTAAAGTGTTTCTTGGTCAGGATAAAAAAGAAAGATGAGAGGGACATTGGTGAACCCTATCTACCTAATTCCAATAAGAAAGAATCACCCCTTGTCCATGTTCTTTCACCTTATCACCCAAAATCTATGCTTCAGCTATGAAAATTGATTTATTTTCATTTCAAGAACCCCTTCTAACTTGTCTACCACACCACATTCCCAAACAAGGAAGAAATCAAATGAGAAATCCTTCATGTCTTCAAGAGTTGAACTACAGATTTGCTTACACTCACATATCTTTTACTTCATTCTTCTCTATCCAAAGAGGAACTGTGCTGCTTCAGTGAAATCAGGTCTTTTCCCGAGTATCATATGTTCCAAGCACTTCATAAATCTACTATTAGTTATTTTTCTTTGCATTTTTTATTTAACCTTTTCTTTTAATGTATTCAGCTTCAGAAGGAAGAGACCTAGTGTCTCTTTCTTCCATATTATCAAGTTTATTGGCTTTTTTCTTTTTTCTTTTTTAACTAGGCTGCTTTCAATGCAGACTTCTCAATGATGAATTGCCCCAAGGTATGTCCTCTTCCACCTTTTTCATTCCTTTTTTGCTCCCTCTTGTGCAATATTGCAGCTTTAAATAAATCTCCCCCAATAAAACACATTTTTAACAACTCCTCTCCTTTCTCTTCTACTCAAGGCAGAGTAGTCTTTCTGGTGTCCTTGAATTTTGACCATAAGACAAATGTTCCAATCATAGTACTTTAAGTTTTATCTATCTTCTGCTATGAATTCTCTTCTTCCTGATATTCACATAGCTCACCATCTAACTTCATCCAGCTATCTTTCCAAAAAACAACTTTATTATTATCCTTTCTAGAAGCATCTAACAAGTTTAGTTCCATAAGATCATAGTAGTCTATCTCATAGCTCCACTTTATTTTTCCACATTGAACTTTTCAACACTTGCAATTGTGTTTTGTGCACCCAATTATGTATTTGGGGCACTTAATGTATAAAAAAAGACTTTTATGGTGATAATAACAGTATTTATAGGGTTGTTGAAAATATTAAATGAGCAACTATATGAAAAATACTTTTAAAAAGTTTTTTGAAAATGGATATTCTATGCATTCTTGCTAATTTAGTTAATTTTTAAAAATGTTCTCCAACTAGAGTATAAGCTTTCGGAGAGTCCTTGATTATTTCATTTTCTGCTGTATCACCAGTTTCTAGAGCAATGCCTAACAATGCTAAACAAGTATTTTTTGAATTAATTGAATGATGGCTCTCAAAACTGTGCCTCCAGCCTGAATCTACTCTTGGGCTGTGTTTGACTATAACAAACTGCTCAGGAGACTTACTTTGGATAGCCACTAAGATTCCAACCTGTGTGGCTAAAATAGAATACTGATTATTTGATTTTCTTAAAGTCTTTCTCATCATCCACGTAAACTTACACTCATCTTCGAACATTTTTTTATTCCCACCCTAATACAACAGCAAGTGTCACTGATACAATCAGCACAACGTAAGCCAAACCCAATCTCTTTTCATTGCCTCCTCTCAGTTTCATATTTTACCCATACTATAGCAACCACATTCTAATTTTATCCATTGTTGTTTGCCTATTGCCTGTTTTTCAAATAATATTTGATCATGATATTCTGCTGCTTAAAACCCATGGATATCTTTCCAATGCAATTTGCAAAAAAAAAAAATCAAACTATTCACAGTTTACAATTTTCTGTACAACCTGGTCTTTTCTGCATCTCTGTCTCCATTCCCTTCAATATTTTCTTTACTGTACTTCAGCCATCTAAGTATTGTTTTGCTGTTCTTTGGACACAGCAAATGCATCTTATACCAAATTTGCTTCTCCTTTAACACGGAGTCCTCTTTATCTAGATTTGTTACTTCAGTACCATGGCCATTAGCCATAGGTATCTATTTAAGTTAAAATTAAAAGTTAAAAAATAAAAATTCAGTTTCTTGGTTTAATTAACCACATTTCACATGCTCAATAGTACCCCAAATATCGTCATTATTATAGAAATTATGCCGAGCAGTAATGCTATACATTTTCCTGTTATTATCCTCTTACACTCATGCTAATCTCAACTCAAAAGTCACTTTCTCAGACAGACTTTCCTTAATCTCTCTGACAAAAGTTACTTTTCACCCTAATCATTATCCCATTATAGTATTTTGTTTTTCACAACATGAACTGATTTTTTGTATGTTTGTTTACTTATATACTTAATAAACTGCTTTCCCCCATTATTGAATAAGCTTTTTGAGGCAAACATTTTGATATTTTTAAGCACTACTCACCAAAGTACAGAAAAATACCTAGCATATAGTGGGCACTTAATAAATATTTGTAGTTTTTCCATTAACTGAATCGATTCAAATTTTCTGTATACAAGGGAGAACCACATACAAAAAAAAGAAAAAAATATATCTTTTTAAGGGCAGTCCCCTTGTAGTACACTCAAAATTTGTTCTGCTGGATCAAATGGTCAGCCAACAATTTTATCTGAAAGTTTTGAGAAGTTGTGCCACAATTTGTGGAAGATGCATCCTGAGTTGTAGTTGTGGTAAACAGGTGACTGTTTCCTCCACCATGACAATGTACTTGCCCACACTATGCTGTGTTCAACATTTTTTGACCAAAAACAGCATGGCTTCCATTATCATCCTCCCTTTTCACCCAGTCTCACCTGGAGGAAGCATGTTGCTTTTTGTTTGATTATTTCCACAGACAAAAAAAGTACTCAAAGAGAAATGTGTTGCAGATATGGAAAAGGTGAAACAAAAAATAGCAGAAGCACTAAAAGGCACCAAAACTGACAAAACTATTTAGAGCCGTGAACAAATTATCTTTATAGGTGTTTTGCATAAAACAATGAGCACTTTGAAAGTGACTCAAGTTTAAGCATGTAAGAATAAATGCACCATTTTTTATAAATAAATTTCGGTTTTGGGGGGTTCCTCCTCATACTTTGAAACATACTAAAAGTGTTTATATCTCTAAAAAAAGAAATCCCTAGACTAGTCACATTTTTCTCTGCTTTCCCAAGCTTTCTCTTCCCAAATAATGTCAAGTTTATTTTTTAAAGTATGTATATATTCCTAGCTCTCATTAACTCTATAATCTATTTTCTTCTAACTCTGAAGTTATTCACTTGCCAGTCCCAGCTATGCACATGATTTTGTTTTTTACACTGATATACATCTAAATTAACAAATTTATTTATCTAGCCTAGAAGATATTCTATATTATATGAACTGCAGAATATATATCTTTGCCTACTTCACATTTCCCCTTATATGTGACAAAGGCACTTCAAACTCAAAAGATCAAAAACTGACCAACCTCTCATCTTTCTCTTTTTTTCTTCTTCTTCTTTTTTGTGGGAGAGGGGTTGGAGTCTCACTCTGTCACCGAGACTGGAGTGTGGTGGCATGCTCCTGGCTGCAGCCTCAGCCTGCTGGGCTCCCACAATTCTTCCGCGTCAGCCTTCCAAGTAGCGGATCTACAGGCGTGCGCTGCCACGCCCAGCTAGTTTTAGATTTATTGTAGAGACGAGGTCTCACCAAGTTGCCCAGGCGAGTCTCGAACTCGAGGGCTCAGGCAATCCACTCGCCTAGGCCTCCCAAAGTGCTGGGATTACAGGCTGAGCCACCAAGCCCGATCCAACGTCTCATCTTTCATCTTCTTTTTTACCTATCCAATGTGAAGATGATTAGGATCGAGACTTTTATGATGATTCATTTAACGCATAGTAAACATAGTTTCTTTTCCTTATGATTTTCTTAAAAACATCTTCTTTTCTCTAGCTTACTTTATTGCACAAATCCAATGTATAATACATATAACATGAAATATGTGTTAATGAATTGTTATTAGTAAGACTTCCCGTCAATAGTAGGTTATCAGTTATCAAGTATTGAGGGAGCCAAAATTATGCACAGATTTACTGCAAAGAAGTCAGTACTTCCAATCTTTACATTGTTCATGGGTCAACTCTATTACTGTGATTCTTCTATAAATGCCTTTTGCCACAAGATTGTAAGTTTATAAAAGCAGACACTTTGTATTTTTCTTAATTTTGGGTTCTTAATATCTAGAGCCATGCCTAAGACATAGTAGATGTTAAAAATAAATAGTTGTTGAATGAATGTACAGATGCCTATGTTCATGAATAAATGAATGCTATTCATCCTGCACGGAAAACTCTTCCTCAGCCCTGTTTCTACTCCCACATTGCCTGGTTAATTACAATTTATCATTCATGTCTCAGTTCACACATTGTTGACTAACATATTTATTTGAAACAAATTTATATTTAAATGCCCTTAACTGTGGTTTACTTGGTTCCATATTCTAATTCAAACTTAGCGTATTAAGTAACAATTTCTATCTTCTGACTACCTTCCTCACTAATTTGTAAATATTTTAAGAAAAGAACTTATATCATGGTCTCAAGAAAACCCAAGTTCCTAGCAAAAATACTAAAAGAACATTAGAAAAGATCTTCAGACTTTTCCTGACTTAATTAGGTCTTTTTTTAATTAAAAAAAAAAAAAGTCTTCGTCCTAACAGTTTAAGGGTTTCATATGATTCATTGCTGGTCCCAAATAATAACTAAAAAAATTACATCAAATCCAAGAGTAGAAGAAGGAAATAATTATCTACCATGTAAGATAAGGAAAGGAAGAAGATAGGGTAGAGAATAGAAAGGAGAAGGAATTAGAGAAGTGAAAGAAGCAGAGGAGAAATGCATATTATAAGGTAAAAAACTATCTTTCCTCTTACTCTGCTCACCTGAACCTAACTCAGCCTTCAACATTTCTAAATTTAATTACTTTTTCAAGCCAAAGTTTCAACTACAATAGAGTGTTCTGAAATATTAAGAAACGTTATTTTGTAGTATGTGTTACTCACCTGAGAAGTATAAAATTCTTTGAAAAAACATTTTTTTGCAGGCTTCTGTACGAGTTTTAAAGGGCCATGTCGTGAAATTGATCTATATCTCTTAAATTTGGATAGCTAAACATTCCTAAAAATTACTGAAGACTTATTAGATCAAATTAATAGACAAATATATTCCATCTAAATATAATTATATGCATATAAATAAATTCTATAAAATTCTTTCAAAGTTATTTTATTCAACTCAACAAGTTATGAAAGTACATTAGTAATAATAGTCAGTAAAAAAGCAACATTTTTTCAAATTTTTAAGAATTTCATATATTTTTATCTTTGTTCAGCAGCTCTCATGAAGAATTAAATGTACCCCATGATTTTAAATTATAAAACTGTCATGAGTTGTTTAAAAGAGAGAAAGGGGAGTTTTTCTTTTCTCACTAGATTTCTTGAGGTATAATTGACAAATAAAATTTGCATCTATTTAAGGTATGCAGTTGTGATGATTTGATCTACATATACATTGTAAAGTGATTACTACCAAGGTAATTTAATTAACGTATTCATACCTTACATAGTTACCATTGTGTGTGCATGTGAGCATGTGTGTGTATGTGGTGAGAACACTGAAGATCTCTCTTACCAAATGTCAACAACAATACAGTATTATTAACATAATCACTATGCTATATTCAGATCTCCAGGATTTATTTTATAAATCCTAGTACACACCTAGTAATTTTGTACCCTGTGACCAACATCTTCCCAACCTCTCCTCTTCTAGCCCCTGGCAACCACCATTCTACTCTGCTTCTAAGAAATTTTGATTGTAATACAGAGTATCAACGTTGATTGCAATGAGAATTATGTCCTTTATAACCAAACTATTTTTTGCTCAGAGATGGCAAATATGCTACTACTTAAGAGCATGACACCTATACTACACAAGGAAGAGTAATGCTAAACAATCTATAGTTTATTGGAACATTATTAGAGTGATTTAAGGGTTATGATACCTCTGAGAAGCTAATGATCAATAACTGTCAGTATTTATATTGATTAACTATGTACAAAGCACATAGTAAAGTATTTGAAGACCATGTTATGGAATATATGCCGTAGGCACCAGTAACATCATTAAAATTGGAAGAAAAAAATGAGGTTGACTCTGGTCTGATTTCTAGTCAGACCTAAAATGTTCCAATATTAATAACTGCTTTCACAATTAAGAGTATCACAACTATATATTAAAATTAAAGCCATTAAAAGCTTCTCTATTGTCTGAAAAAAGAATTCAAAGTTCTTAATTTGTATTTGAAATTTTTATTCCTAAAATGTGTACTAGGATAAACAAAAATGTAATATAAAATGAGATTATATATTAATCAAATGACATTGTGAGGAAAAATATAAATATTTATTATTGTTATTCAGTGTCATCAAATGAATCAAAGATTACCTATTTAAGATATTATAATAACCACAAAGAAAAAAAGTCTTCCCCCAAATAATGATATATTTTTTATACTATTCATTAGTACATTTAAAATTATTCAATAACATTTATTTTTAACACATTTTAACCAAATATTTCTACACATATACCCAATAAACTACAGGTTTATTTCTTTTAAAAATTTTAGCTTTATCTAAAAAAACCTTCAAAGATACATTTTTATTCACCTCACAAATTCAAGTTAAGAGACATTTGAGTGAATTTCTATTAGAATAATACAGCTCTATTTTTTTTCTTTTTATTCTTTCCCAGCAGCTCCACCCCTACCCCCCACAGCTTTTCCCCTTCCCTGAGGCTGCCATCAGCTCTAGTTTTTTCATGATTTTCCAAAAGATAGCTGCACATTGTACCTCATATTCTTTAAAATATCCATCAGGCCGGGCTCGGTGGCTCAGCCTGTAATCCCAGCACTTTGGGAGGCCGAGGCAAAGAGGATTGCCTGAGCCCGCGGGGTTCGAGACCTACCTGGGCAACTTGGTAAAATCTCGTCTCTACAATAAATCAAAAATCAGCCAGGCGTGGTAGCGCACGCCTGTAGTTCTCACTACTTGGAAGGCTGAGGCGGATGGATCACAGGATCCCAGCTGGTCGCGTCTGCAGGGGCCAGGAGCTGCCACTGCACTCCAGTCTGGGTGACAGAATGAGACTCCAACTCAAAATAAATAAATAAATAAAATAAAATAAAATATCCATCAGTACAGAAAGTGTATTCATCTGCTTTTGAGTGTGGATAAAAATTATAGTTTTGTTTCTGTGATTATATTCATATTCTCACAAAGCTATGACTCTTAACACTACTGTCTACACATTTTTTTTTTTTTTGAGTTGGAGTATCACTCTGTCACCCAGACTGGAGTGCAGTGGCCGCTCCCGGCCACCGCAGCCTCGACCTGCTGGGCTCCTGCAATCCTTCCACCTCAGCCTTCCAAGTAGCTGGAACTACAGGCGTGCGCTACCACACCCGGCTAATTTTTTGATTTATTGTAGAGATGAGGTCTCACCAAGTTGCCCAGGCAGGTCTCGAACCCGTGGGCTCAGGCAATCCACTCCCCTCGGCCTCCCAAAGGCGCAGGATTACAGACTGAACCACCGAGACTGGCTTGCCCACACATTTTAAGCTTAGGTCTCTATAGGACTTTATAATTATATTGAGTAAAAGGCAGAAGCCCTCTAATTTTTGATAACATCAGCTCTCCTTGTTCACACGTCATGGTGAACATCATTGTTATCAATGTAAAATAAAAATAGTTAATATTTTATAAGTCTCAACTACAAATAACCCTAAAAACCGTGTCAAATATGCTTCTTACTCTTATCCACTTGTATAAGGTAAGATACAGTCCTATAAACAAATGTTCTGACCAGATATCTCTCCTGATCTATAAAATGTTTTCATAAAATTGTGTGTTATTGTCTCTTCTTTCTGTAGTTGGTTAAACTCCAGAAGGTTATCATGCACCTTGGAAGTAGATTAAAATTTGGTCTTGAAAAAGTTACTCAAAATTTTGTATTATATATCCAATTTGACAGCCTTTACCATGAGGATATGTACAAAACAGTGATATTTATCAAAATTAACATCAAACTACACAGATCAAGTAATGTGAGTATAGTAGTTGAATTTACTAAAAGTAAGAAATAAAAGGCATGACAAAATACTAATAAATAAAAATCATATTTACTCTGCTATTTGTAAGACTAGATTTGCAATGCTATGAAAAATCAGCCAGGGCAGTAAATGCTACAAAGAACAGCAGGGTACTGAAGAGTTAAATGATGATGAATAGCCAGAATCCATTCTAAATTGTTTAACAAAACTGAGAATGTTGAGAACCACTGATTAATTGGATGAGTACTGAGTCAGAAATTGACTAGTTGTCAAGTGTGGTGTTACACTTCTTATTTCTTTCCCTAGCTACAGAGGAATCAGTTTTTACCAAGAAGGGGGGAGAACTGCAATACCTGCGAGGTAAGGGAACTCTAAAACCTGTCTACTTCAGAAAATAACTTTTTATTTATTGTTTATGTTGCTACCTTTCTAAATCAATTGGATTGGCATACTTAGATGGGGATGATCATTAGATAATCATTAGGAATGACCATTAGGCTTCTTTCTGAATAGTTTGGACAGGATAGAAATTAGAGTGGGGCTAGGGTTTCTACACAAAGAACACGGACCATCTATCTAGGTTTGCTAGAAGGATCAGAGTAACTATTTCAAACGTCAAGATTTCGTAACTGTGAACTGAATTCTTTAAGAACTTTCAGGATATCTGCGCCTGTATGCAAAGTTCTTTCTTTGCAGTATTGTGATATTGTGGTAGATTTACAGAGTAATCCTGAGTTCCTGGAAATCTCCAATCAGTTGCTGGATGCTGACTTTATTCTTAGGAGTCTACATTGGTAAAGCATACCTAAACATCTGTAGGATTGAAATTCTCCTTTCAGCAGTGAACCTTTGTTAATAAATAAATAAATAAATAAATAAAGGAAGACCACATTTAAAAAACAAACAAAAAACTCCATTTTGAGGTTTTGGAAGAAAAAATAGAATAGAAAATATTTTCTCAACTTTGAAAGTCAATTATCATGTTAGGTAAAAGCTTTGCATGTTATTATTTTTTTTCTTTTATTTTTCAGCACCAATCCAGGCCAAGAGAAAGATAATGTACAAGGCAAAACTTTGCCTATTCAACCTATAGCTCTTCAGGGTTTACTCTTAATCTTTAATTTCTCAGAGGCCCTAGTTAAACAGATTTTTGAGGATGTTCGCTGTAAGAGCCAGTGCCCCTCAGAAAACAAAACAGGGAGGCTAATAAGTAAATTAAAATCCATAACACCTCTCAGATTCCTTTTCTGCCTATTCATGAGAATGAAAGAATGAGAAAGCTGGACAGTGAATCTCATCATTAAGTGGCTATGTAAAATATAGTAAAATGACTTTGATTGGCTCTGGAGACAGAACTTCTAGCTCCTTAACTTTATGTAAATTGTTGAACTTCCCAAGATTCACATTCTGCCTTTGAGATAACACCATATCTACTACTTCACAGGTTATGAGAATCAGAATGAGATGTATCACTCTCTTCATCTTTTCAATGTTTCTCTTTCTAGCATGAACCAAATGTAGCACCTGTTGAATGTGTGAAAGAAGCCATAAGGAAGGAATGTGAAGAAAAGCTTTGGGTTAAGGACTCAAAGGGGCACTACGAAATTAAGAATGTAACTCAATGTGAAGGAGAAAGATGCTTTTGGTACTACTACCTCTGCCAGACCACCCAGGGCTTTCTTCCTCAGCTCTGTTCCTGGCTGCTTCCAGTACGTACTGTCCTCTGCAGACACATGGAAAACTCCCTGATGATGGTAGTCTTCTTTATCATTGATGTCAAGACCCATGCAATCGAAGACAGAGGGTCTCTGCTCTTTGGAGACTTAGTGACACTTGCTGCTGCTTTTATGTCCCTTTTGGATTTCACATAAACACTGACTAAGTCAGTGATTGGTTATTTTAGTGATGATTATCTTCTGAACAGTTAGAAAACAACAATAAAAAAAGGATATAGAAAATAAAGACTATATTTTAAAATCTTACAATTAACATCATAGTTAATAATAAAAGAGGGAATGTTTTTCCCCTAAAATTGGAAACCAAACTAAGATGGTCCTTTATATCACTTCTTTTTGACAAGGCACTGGATATTCTAGCCAGGGCAGTTGGCCAAAAAGAGGTAGCAAGGGCCATGTAGACAAGAAAGGAAAGATAACATGATTATCTATGTAGAAAATCCAAAAGGAATCTACTAAAAAACTACTAGAACTAATTCATTATTTCATTTGCAGGATACATATTTTAGTTGAAGAATATAAGTTTAACAAACAGAAATCAATTATATTTCTATAAAAAAATAACAAAAAGTCAGAAATTGGAATTGAAATAGAAATTCCACCAATAGCATCAAAAAGTATAAAACTTTTAGGGACAAATCTAGATGTGTAAGACTTTTAGACTAAAATGTACAACATCACTGAGATAAAGATGTGAATAGGCAAATATACAAATGAAGGAATATACTGTGCATATGAGTCACTATTGTAAAGATATCAATTCTTCCCAAGTTGAAGCACATTAAATTCAATTTCAATTAAAATAACAAGAATACATTTTGTAGAAGTAGACATACTGATTTTAAAGTTCCTATAGAAATGCAAAAGATCTGTAGTAGCCAAAGCAAATGTTAAAAATGACAAGCCGGGTTCAGTGGCTCAGCCTGTAATCCCGTGCGTTTGGGAGGCTGAGGTGAGTGAATTGACTGAGCCCGTGGGTTCGAGACCCGCCTGGGCAGCGAGACCTCATCTCTACAATAAATCAAAAAAAATCAGCCGGGCGTGGTAGCGCGCGCCTGTAGTTCCCGCTACTTGGAAGGCTGAGGCGGAAGGATCGCTGGAGCCCAGCAGGTCGAGGCTGTGGTGGCCGGGAGCGGCCACTGCACTCCAGTCTGGGCGACAGAGTGAGACTCCAAGTCAAAACAAAGCAAAATAAAACAAACAAACAAACAAAAAATGACAAAGTTAGAAGGGAAAGACTACCTGCTTTTAAAATTTATATTAAAACTACTGTAATCAAGATTGTAGGTGTTGACATATATTAGATCAGTAGAACAGAAGTTAGAGTCTAGAAATCTAGAAATAAATTCACACATATATGGAGAACTGATTCTTTTAAATGACCCAAATGACAATAGTCATCACAAGAAATGGTTATGAAACAATTGGAGGTTTTTTAATTAAATTAACACAATGGTTATAGCATAAAATATGCAATAATTAACTAAAAATGAATCATACCTAAATATAAAACACAACTCTATAAATACTTTAGTAAAAAAGTTAGGATTAACTCTTCATGACCAAGACTTATGATGATTTCTTAGATATTACACCAAAAACAGGATCTATAAAATAGCAAATTAATAAATTGTGCTTTATCAAAATTTAGAATGTATCTTTTGAAAAGCATTATTAATAGAATAAAAACAATTCACAAACTGGAAAATAAATATTTTCAAAGAAACATATCTGATGATATGTTTGTGTTCAGAATACATAAATAACTCTTAACTGAATAGGAAACAAATAACTCAGTAAGAAATCAGGCCAAAGAGTTAAGAAGATACTTCATAAAAGAAATACAGACAGCAAATAAACACACAGTGGAGTTTATTTCCTCATTCTTTTATCAGTCTTGATGACATAGCTTGATTGGGTCAATGGCATATGTGTGGAAAAAAGAGTATTGGGGGTTTTCCAACATAGGGATTTTTTTTTTCTAAACTAGATTGTTAAATGAGAACATACATGGAAGAAGGTTGTTGATACCCAGATTCATCAATACGTAATAAGTATGAGAAATAAATATAACTTTATTACTAACCAAGGTTTGGGACATATTTATTCCACTATAGATATGCCTGAAAAAGGAGACAGTATTTTAATTTTTTTAGTTTGCTATTTATTGACTCTAATGTAGTAGTTCTCAACCAGGAAAAATTATTATCCTCTAAGGAACTTTTGCTAATGCCCAGGGATATTTTTGGTTACCACAATTGAGAGGGATGGTGCTATCATCTAAATGGTAGAGACCAGGGTCACAGCTACAAAACACAGGGCCACCTCCCGCAATAAGAATTATCTGGCCCAAAATGTGAGAAGTGTTGAAGTTGAGAAACATTGCTTCAGTGGATGCTGTAGGTGTCCCTCCAGAGCTCCCCCTACTGGCTGACGTATCTGCACTCTGCCTATTGCCTGATAATACCTCTTAGAGGCTTCCTCCCTGCCCCCACCTGCCCACCTGAGATATTTTACCCAATAACTGACTAATGCAGATATAGAAATTGTCTTCTTTTTTCTCCATCACAAGTATAAAACAATTCTGTGGCTGTTCATCTTTAGCTGATACTGCATTCTTGCTTAGCTTTTTCTATTGTCCTATTATGCTCTCTTACTCTCCTTCCCTTGAGAGTACTCCCTACAATAAATCACCTCAACAAGAATATCTTCAAGTGCTTCTTCTAAAGAAACTTGATGTGAGACCACGCTGTGTGGCCCTGGGAAGCTGAGTCAACAAATGGAATTCTGTAGATGAATCACTTCATGCTGGATGCTAATGAAGACGTCATCACTGGTGGTAGAACTATTAGTTGCTGTTGTGCATTACAAAGAGGTACCTAAGACTTTTAACCTCTTCCACCTGGTGCAGGTAGAAGTGGATATGTGCTAACGTACATTTTTTCTGGCATCTTAGAGTTTGAAGGAAACAGTAACTATAGGAACCATAGAATTATGAGACTACTGTGAATTGGCATTGATTTGTTAAAGAGGGGAAATAATAGACCACGTTCTGATAATTTACTTCCACAAGCTATGTAAGAATCACAGGGCTTGCTTCACAACATTGAAAAGGACATTCATCTCTTGTAGTGAGAGGAAAGACAGATGAAAAATTGGGCACAGGTCTTCACTGAAACAGGAGAAAACTTTAGAAAATTCAAATTTCAATATAGGCAAGTCTCTTATTTGAAAATCAGGACCTTGGTCAGGTAAGATGGTTTACACCTGTAATCCCATATTTTGGGAGGCTGTGGAAGCAGGATTGCTTGAGCCCAGGAGTTCAAGACCAGTTTGGGCAGCATAGCAAGACCTTGTCTCTACCACAAAAAAAAAAAAAAAAAATCTTAAAAAAGTTAACCAGGCATGATGGCACTCTCTTGTGGTCTCACCCTCTCTGGAGGCTGTAGCAGAAGGATTACCTGAGCCCAAGAGTTTGAGGCTATGATGAACGATCATCATGCCACTGCACTCCATCCTGGGCTACAGAAAGAGATTGCAACTTTAAAAAAAGAAAAGAAAAGAAATGAAAAAGAAAGAAGGTAAGAAAATTAATCATCGTCCTGATAAGGTAGCAGTGGAACCTGAAGGCCTGAATAAGGATTTGTAGTTACATTTGAGAAATTTAAACACTCAAATTCCCTTGTACTAAGAAGGAATATTATTTTCTAAATATATACACATATGTATTTATATTTAGCCACAAAGTACTTATATAATAAAAATAAATAGGAGTCTTCAATCTTCAAATTAGTTAAATTGATTAAAAACCCTATTTCAATTCTTATAGTAAAATCCAACATACTAATTACTTCAGTCACAGGAACGTATGAACTGGCTTATAAATTTTTGAAGAGATTGGTTCAGTTTTAACACAAAATAAATGAAGGTTTAGGGCTTAACATGAGTTATTGAAATTTAAAAAATCTGAAGAGTCCAATCAATAGGAAAATATAGATATAATACAAATAGTCAACAATTATATATTTTCAACCATAGCTAAAGTCTCTCAGCCATTAATAACCTATAGGTTACATTTGGCACACTTCCAAATAAACCTGCCTGGTGAAGGTGTTATGATTCATGGCTTACATTCTGTTCCTGAGTAAAGGATCTTATTGCTAGTTCCATAAACTGTTGACATAGTGATTAGTACATAATCTACTGACATTGCAAAAAACTCTGTTTCATTTCTGAATCATAAAGTTTTACTGATTGTCTTGCAAATAGAACATTTTAGTCTGCATTTTGTAATGTGTAGGCAATGATTGTAACCTCTGTATTGTACCCTCCAATAAAAATGGACAACTAAAGTATAAGGAATCCTCCTCCCTTCTTCTAAACTTTTCCATAAAAGCCTTCCAACTTGTAACAGACTCTGGAACACTCCCAACATTTTTGGTGTGTCTTTGCAACTTGATCCTCACATTTATCAAATTATTTATTAGTTATCAAATTATTTCTTTCTCAGTGGCTTTACTTTCAATCAACACCACCTATATTAGATAATTATTTACTGAATAAAATCAGCTCAGAATTTACTGGTTAAGGAACACCATTTATTAGATAATTGTTTCTATATGTAAAGAATCAAGTGGTGCTAGGTGAAATTCATCCCTCGCTTTTAGTGTTTGTTATGACAGTATTTATCATTTATTGCTCTATAACAAATAAACCCAAATCTCTCCTTCACAGGATGGCTTGGACTCCAGGCATCTTAAGGCTCAATTGGAATCAGATCTACTTTCAAGCTCACTCACCTATTGCAGCTAATATTTAGTTCCTTACTTGCAATTGACCAGAGGCTGCCCTCACAGGTTCGTGATACGAAAACTGACTTCATGAGAATGATAATGAAAGATGAAAAGAGAGACAGCTACTAGAATACATTGAAGCAAGACAGAAGGCACAATATTTTGTTTTGAAATCTTGAAGGTAGCATCTTATCACTTTTGCCATATTATGGAATGATTGCCAGGAGGAACTAATTACTGAGTGACAATTCAGAATCTATCTACATGGTTCTTCTCTGAAATCCAATAATCCATGTAGTTTCTACATGCAAAAGTTACTAAATGTATCTCAAACTCCATAAA